TTTTTTTTTTTTTTTAATGACAAGCTTCTCAGCTGGCCGGACTCTTAAATCCACAAATCTCATGGGCTGATCGCGCCCTCCAAACCGGTCCGGGTTTTCACAATACGGACCACGGTCCGTAATTATTTCTGCGCCATTCACGGCAAAGCGGAAAAAAGGAAACCAGAAGAAAAAAGGAAAAGAAAATGGGTTATTTACTAATACAGGCTTCGGCCTCGTGACGTACTCAAGACCTTGAGCAAAGTTTTTTCCAAAACGGCCCTCCCGCCCGGTAAATGACAAATAAATGTATGAAACAGACTATATATATCGAAAAAGAAACCTTCGAGTTATTTGGAACGCCTCACGTAGCAGGCTATTATTAGAAAAACCTGCTAGTGCCCATGCTGACAATTCTCTTTTTAAACTGAATGAGAACAAAGACCACACTGACAAACGATTAAAGAACTATATTATTTCTAACCTTAAATAACATAAAACGATGAAGGTTGAATTTATCTTTGCCTTTTCTATCTTCTAGAGACAGAAAGTTAATAAACTTTGTCGTAAATTCTTCTTGACTGAATGCGTCATAAATGTGCCGTTCCTCCTGAAACATAAAAATAAAATTTCAAGACAGTAAATTCAATTTAAACATTGATTACGGCTACTTAATGTTGACACACTGACCAAGTAGCATCCTTGCTAATTCCCAAACAAAGATATTTAGGGGTTTCATGACTTTTTTCATAAGCGGGTGACAATGGCGTAACAGAAGGCTGTGCCCAGTAGCGGGGTCGGAAGGTGAAACCCAAACACGAGCCTGCTTGCAGACAGCGGTTAAGGGTCTTCTAGGCAGCGAAAGATCGCTGACAACCGGCTCTGATTGAAACCCCGGGATAATATTCAACCAAGGGTCTAAAGGAGAGCATGGTGCGCGTGGAGAAATAAAGACACAAACAACAAAACAAACGAAGGAAGAAGGGATTAACAGCATAAACAAACAAAAGGATAAAACTCTGACGAGGGCTGTTTACCTCTGAAAGTTGATCTCGTGTTCTCTCAAGGAGAGGTTGCTTGTCCGCAGACGCATAAGTCAGCAGTTTTCTATACGAAAATGAGCCAACAGACATTTGAAATTCATATACTAGGCTGAATCATTCACGCGTGCTGATTAGTTCTTACTCATCATAATCTATCGATGGACAGCTGCTTACATGACGCCACTATCATTGTAAAAAACCAAATAGATCCCACGAACACCTTTTCATAGCAAGATAGAACACTC